ATACGAAAATGATAAAGTTTAAGAACACATACTATTTTAATTATTTAATATAAATTTTGTCACAAAGAAAATTCTTGAAAATGTATATGGCCGATAAAAATGTTGTTAATTTACATAAAATACTTAAGTATATATTAAATATATTAATAATTAAATAAAGCTGTAACATAGCGTATAATATAATAATTAATAGTAATACAATATTATAAACATAATTACATAATTTATAAAATATACAAATATATTGTCAACATTATTCATATAATGTATGTGTCTTTCTTTATGGAAAAAAGGGAGTTCAACTTGTACAAGTAAAAGCAATTTCTTCGAGAAAATCACTAAATTGAATTACAAGTCTGTTTAGGTTCAGATAGCACAAATGAACTTAGAATATTGTGTTAAAAGTGGAAGCAGTCAGTTCTGCATAAAGCTTGATTTAAAGTGGCGGATGTCAGGTTGCATTGTCTCCTCTAAGGGGCTGCACGACAGAGATGCTAGCGCAGTCTTATGCATTCCGCGCCCCAAGGTGCATTCCGCGTCTCGGTTCTTCATACTTAACACCCCGGTCATGCATAATACAACGCGCATCTAGCAATGCCGTATCGTTACCTTCCAAAACCCTGCGAGTTTCTTTTCTTTTCTTTTTTTTTTACCATTTTCTTCTATATTATCACATTATGTTTTATTCATTGTAACACTTTTTATATGCAACATAAATATCTATTTATGCAAACGTTGTTATTACTTTGTAATACATTTATCGATATCTCTTAAAAATGCATAGAAAAGAATTTAAATACATTAATTAATTTATAAGAAAACTTGCTTTATAATATATTTCTACACTATTATCTTACATATTATATTTATCTTACATATTTATAATTTATGCGCTTGTATGTAATTCTCTTTTTAAAATTAAAGAATGAGAAGAATTCAAAATTACAATCAAGTTTCAGAGGTTTTTCTGAAAAATTAGTAAGAAAATTAAATTCAGAGTTTTCTTTAGTTCCTCCCTTTAACTTTACTTTCGACCGTTCGTGGAGGAGGATTAATGGAAATTCGGTACCGATGGGATTAAAGGATTTGATTCGAAGGCAAGTGCAAAGTGATGGAACCGATGTACGGACCTGGCACCCGGAGATGGTGCACCGGACGCGAAGTCGCGCGCACGTGAATGTTCCCGTGAGAACTTCACCGGGCGGCGTCTAGTCGCGTCACATCGCCGACATTTTCGCGACGTGTGCATTCGCCGCGGAGATGCACCATGCGGATAGCTCCATGCGGCTACGTTAATTGGACACGTGGAAAGGTGTGCATCCGCGGACGGATCGATATTCATACACGGATCGCATACAAAAAACGCGATGATGCCGCGCGATTGACGGTGAATGTTTAAATTGGACGAAGAGGTCTATGCCGCTGAAATGTGTGAAGCCGAGCATCACACAACGTTCGTATGATAAATTACAAGCGTACGCGTCGATGGAGTCGCGGGAAAATTCTTAAATAAAAATTGAAACGGTTGTATCATTAATTTCATTCAGAATTTTAATGCGATTAACGAGAAACAACTTGAAATCTGTGTACTCTTTTTTTTTTAAGTTTTTATACTTTCCGCATAAAAATATTATTTAACAGTTTAACATGAAAAAATAGTATAGTTACATGATGCATTTAAAATATCTAATCACTATCATAACTTATTATTTTTTTAACTTTTCTTGCAACAACTTTACAATCGCCTTGTAATAGCATAAAGTAGTATGCACGTTTTAAGCCGATCATTTACAATTCGCGCTCACTCTCGCAATTAGTCGTGCGAATAAAGTTTCTGTTGGAGCGCACTTTTTTACCGTTCGTCGTTTAATTACGCCCGGCTTCCACTTGGAAATGCCGTCCGGCACGCCGGCAACCTGACCGCGCGCAAGATCTTCGCAGAGATACGTCAAGCACACTTTTCGCAAAGCGTGGAACAGGATTTGCCTGTCGGCTTCGTCGCGAACCACGGATGCAATGGTCGCGATAAGTCACGCGTGTACTTGTGCTTCCAAGCGACAAATAAAACGTGCAAGCCGAAATTCCTGCGCGGTTGACGTGAGATATATCGATGAAGTCGTTAAAGTCTCTCATAAATTTTATGCTTCAACTTGAATGGTTTTTAATACCTTTTTTTATCTCGTTTCTCTCCTGACGTTTTTCTCGACGATTATCTCAGCATAACCACTTTTATTGCATGAATTTTTTTATATTTTATTTTATTTTTCATAGTGAAAATGATTTTGTATTATTTCATATAAATTTTATATTTGTAAAAGTTTTATTTATAAGTTATTGTATTTTATATTTTAATATTAATATTCACATACTTTCCATACTTTTAACCGCGATATAATTTTCTTTTATCTTACTACTTGCATTATTTTATTTGGAGGCAATAATTTCGGGTGAGAGACTAATAACTGTATCCGCAAATATCCGCGACAATCCGTTACAATGATGGAAAATTTCAGGAACATTGAACAGCAATCGAACTTTGTTCGCTATTAATCAGTTGAGGAAAAACGAGAATGGCGACGCAAACAATAAACGTACGCGACAAGGAGAAAAAAGGGCCGGTGGCTGCGCAGATTTTCGTTCGAAATTGCTTCACACGTTTGATATTAGCGCAGTTATAGTAGCATGATGTTGGCAAATGGGAAGTTGTGGTGGACGATAGCGGTAGCTCGTTGCTTCGCGTGTACAAGCCATCGTATATACAATCACGCTTCATCTGTCTTGAAAATGTCAGTTTTGACCGTGTGACTAACGATGAGTTGAAAAATTGGAATGGCCTACGGGCCATTTTTTTTTTCCACATTGGTTAGGTCGAAGAGAGGAATATGTGTCGAGTGAAAATTGAAATATATGACTAATCCCGTACGGCTTTGACTGACTGAATATTCAAGAGAATAGATAAAATGAAAATTGTGTTGTACGACTTTTAAAAAATTTCCATAAAAATTTATTAGAAAATTCGTCAATCAATCACGTGTGTCATTGCTTTTTTTCTTACCCGAAACATTAAAATATCAATAATCTTTAAATTAGACGACTGAAAATACGTAATTTCTTCTTCAAATTAAATTTCTAACGATTTCCATTAAATGAAAAATTTTGTTTCTTTACTGTTAAATGGATTTTATATTTTTTTAGTGGAATTTTAATATAATACTAATTGTTATATATAGTTTATATATGTGGAAGAATTTTATTTGTGGAGATATTGTTTGATAAAACTTTTAGTAAGAAAAATTAAGGCAACAGAACTCGTAAGAGGAAATACATAACTTTCAGTAAACTCTGGAATGAACAATAATACGGATGGTTCGTTAGGGACTTTCAACAAGCGAAAAGATGCACAATAGGTCCACCGAGAGCAATTTACGAGATTTTCTGCTACATTCGGACGCATCCATGCTTTTTTATTAGGTCCAACTAGACTCTCCGGACTCGTTCTCTGCTTTTCTCACAGTGACTCGAACCAAAACCGACAAACTGTCTGCTTCGGTAGTCTCGAAAGTTTTTAACGGCGCGAGAGACGAGACGAATGGGAAAGCTGCCGCAAAATAGGATTTGGAAAGTGGGAGCTCACGGGGATTTGAGCGAAAGGGGCGCTTTTGTGAGCGTGTAATATAACGCGAGTAAACGCCCGCGTAATGCATTCTTCCTAATCTACCGAGTTTTGTCATTTTATGCACGTACGCATTGTTTCCTGAGTGGAAGAGGGAACGTTCGCGCAATATCGCGCGAAGCACGTTCAAAAGTACGCGCAGGACAATTCAGAGTATCTCTCCGCTATTTTCATATTTGCCAAAAATTTCTAGATGTCTAGATACACCAGTAGATTCTTCAATAACACGAGAGATGTCAAACAGCGAAGCAAAAATTTCAGCGAACCTTTTGACGAGCGACGACCTATAGATGGGATCTTAATTGACGTAGTAAAGTGTGGAAATGATGAAATCTATCTCCGAATCGTGCACCGTTTACGTGCACCGTAACGATAAAAAATTGAATGACATTGATTTTTATCGGCTCGCCTTCGACGACGAAGGCTATATTTTTTTATACGTATCCTTTCATATTTTAATTTTACGCAGGAAACATAGTCAGACGCAGCAGACCGAGGATTTCGTGCACTGTCGCGTTTTGCATTCGCTAAGGCTGCTACGTCGCATTCAAAGTCGCGGATGTGCAACAATGCCGCCCGCTCTAATTTAATGTGCAACGAACCCTTTTTGTCGCTACCTCTTTGTACCTTCGAGAGAACAATGAAAGTTCTTGAATTATTGAAAACTGCTTCTTCGGATTCTGTATATGTACCTACTGACACAGATCTTTATACAAGATTTTTTTTTCCGGCGAACATAATTTTATTCGGGATTTATTTTGAGGAAAAAAAACAGACGAGATTTTCTAATAAAGACTAATGTTAATCTTGGATTCGTTTAGGAACGTTTAATTTAAAGAAAAAAAAATAACATATGAAAATTATATTAATTTCTAAACATCAATTGATGAAAAAAGAAACTGGAACAGAAATATACGAAATTACATTTAAAACTACTTACATGAAATTTAATTTTTATATTAATTATTCAAAACTTACTATATTAATTTTGCTTAAACATCTGCGCTTCGAATCACCCCCTCATCCGTTTCCCCGTAAACCTATCATAAATCGTCGATCGCAATCGTAAAGATCCATTTTTCTTAGAGGCGAACAATTCTGAGTGCGCCGTTCACCGAATTGACTTAATCTGCATAAATGAGCATTCTTCGTAAATCAGTTCGACGTCTCACGAAGCAATCTTATTGTCATCTCGACTGTTCGCGGTCACAATGTTCGATTCACGTATCGAAGTTCGCAGCCGCGCGCGAGCCAATCAGCGCGTGGTGACTCGCGGTCGGCGCGCCGGCGACCAATCGCGCGCCTTTCCTCATCGGCTCCTAGATGGGCCGGCTAGATGAGCCACACCAAGCCGCACTCGCCGTCAGTCCGCGCCGTTATTTCGTAGGGTGAGGTTCGTTTCGCGCGGTATCGCGTACTCTCCGTCAGGTCCTCCTCGATGATTTTCACGTGTTTCGAGCTTTGCCTCGTCTCGCGCTTGGATTTTCCCCGTTTTCCTTCGTCAACCGAGTCACGTCTCGTCCGGTAGCCGAGACTGGAGTATCCCGAATACTCTCGACGCGCGTACGTGACGCGATTTGCAAATTCGCGCAAGTGATACTCGAGGAAGAGAAAAAAGTGAAGTGACTCCTTCAGCGAGAAACACCTCCTTGACTGTTTTGGCAAAGAGAGAAAAGGTATGAACGATTGTTGATACTTCAATCTGGCTATGAAATAATATATAAAATATTATGTATATATCTTTATCTTGTCGATAATCTCTGGTCCATATTCTGAACTTACCTTTATCAGTAAGAGAGAGTTCAGGGTACGGACTTCTTTCTGCTTTCTCCAATTTTATTATCATAATATAAATTAAATTTAGTATGTTACGACACATATTTAAAAACGAGATGCTTTTGAATTCGAAAACAACTGTTGTTGTCATTCATAAAAGAATCCTTGAACGATAGTTACGTGTGGTAACGTGCGACCTTACATCGATGATTCACGATCGTGATGTTAACAGCAACAATAGTGTCAACAGTCACGTCTTTTGTTGCGAAACAGATTGAGCATTTACGATTTCGCAAGAGCTACGAATATCTTATGAACAGGTCGTACGATCTGTAAACCGACACAAAAAAGAAATTAATCTTGAATCAAGAATATTCTTATAAATTAGCAATCTATTAGCAATCTTCATATAGAAGATTTTTAGTCTTGAGTTGAGTAAAAATAATACATCAATACAAATTCAATCAAATCAAGACTGAAATTGTTAAGAAATCATAAATACTCTTGTTCGTATATGAAAATATTTATCTTAATTTAAGATTAATTTTTTTCTGTGCAATACTTCATTTATCGAACAACACAGAAACTTTTGGCTATATTGTTTGAATATAGAATAATAAAGTTTTCATATCTTTAGAAATTTTTTACTTGTAATTAATTAATGTGTTCAAAAAATTTGTCGTACGACAAGTGGAATATTAGTTTAAGAAGGGATGTAGAAGAGAGGTTGTCGCTGCTATATATATTCAATGAATGTCAAGCAAAAGGTTCCGGTTAAGGAACGGCGAAAGGTGCGGAGGGGAGTCTGTGAATGCAAAACCGGTTGCATTGAGAAGGTCAGTTACTGCATCGACGCCATTCCCTTCGGACACGATGCTCTTTATTTCGGTCACGTGTGTCTTGTGTTCTTTAAGACCTTGTCCTAATCTTGGAATCTTACGGGTACTGAAGCTTGTGAGAACTCGATGACGAGTTTGTCCTGTCAAACAGGTCGAATTCTTGAATGTTGAACGAACGTTTAAATCAAAATTGCTCTTTTTTTGAATGCTCTTTACTCGAGTTAGCATAAGTATCTATATATACATAGGCTAGGAGTATATCTCGGATATTAATTATAAACTTTTTATACGTATATAAATTGCAGTAAATTTTATCGAAATTTTAATAATAATTTAATGATTGCGGTCAATTTTAGTTTTGCTATCCATGTTGAAAGCATCTAATGTATTGAATCGAAAAATAATTATTCACATCGTCATGAGGTATTATATATTAATAACATTACTTATAAAAAGTAATGATAGGATAATAGAAATAATAAATAATAGGAATATAAAGTAAAATAACAGCGATATAATAATGAAAAGATAAGTAAATATAATATGACACGAGGAAAGAACTATATTTTATTAGAGTCATTCTATTAAACGCATTAAAACGACATGGGGTGCAAGAGATTACATCGGTATGGAAGTGTTTCGTGTGATGGCAAGATGTATGTATGGTATTCTAGGATCAATAGAGGAAGTAAAGAAGAGGACGAGCCGACCCCTAAAAGGAGGGGAGGGAGGGCTTCGATGGATCTCGTTTGAAACCTCGAAGGCCAAGGCTACCGCTTACGCCGCACTGCGAGGGAAAGAGAAAGAAAGAGGGAAGTGAGCGAGATAGAAATCGGAATAAAGAGAGAGAGAGAGAGAGAGAGAGAGAGAGAGAGAGAGAGAGAGAGAGAAGAGAGAGAGAGAGAGAGAGAGAGGAAAAGAGAACAAGAGAGGGGGATATGCAGCCTACGTGAAATTTGCACAAATCCATATCGTATTTGTACACTGGATTTTATCATCTAACTCTACCATCCATCGTCGAAACGTCATTGTATTCCTGAATATTAACATGAACATGATTATGATTATTTAATCACACGTCGCGCCGCGTCGCGATTAGCGATTTAAATATCTCTGCTATCGTAGTAATTATTTATTGCACTTGTCGGTGGAATTTTTTCGGCGTTTTTAATAACTTTTTATTCTGCTTTCTCGTCTCGAATCGCTTCGCGTCTTGTAAGAGATTCATGTCAAATCGTAGTACTTTTCATGTAATATCTTCCTTGATTCGTAAATTTGCTACTTTTATCGCGCGCCCGTTTATCTAAGTTCTTTTATATGTAACGACTGAGGAAAAATTGAATAAAAATTGATTGTTAAAAATATCACACGTTATCAAACAACGACACATCAGACTCATGCTCATTAGAGACGTGACGTAGACTTGCGGTCTACTCGACGTTCACGCTTGCTTAATTGACAGATAACACTATCGTCGACGGCGAGAAGTCAGCTATTAGGATAAAAGCCAGCGGATCATGTGGCGCTGCCATTGACCTGCCGCACTGATTGGTAAAATGACACTTGTCGCATTTATCTCGATACCCCTGATACCTGGCTGATTTACACGGTACACTCGCGTCAATTCTTGTAATAAGTATGTCTAGCAATGTTATCTTATATTTCCTCTTACCGATAACACTTTTTTTTCAAAAGCAAACAGATATGAAGGAAATATGATAAAATATATGAAAAAAAAAATCATAAAAATACTTGCTCGATTCATTTAATTTCAACACCTGTTTCGTTCGCATAGATTTCCCGTAGGATTTTTCACCGAGATAGATATCATCCGTTAGTATTTCACCCTTTGAAATATTTGTTATTTTATATATTTTTAAATTTTATTTGTGAATTTAAAAAATACGCAGTATCTTTTTTAACATAGCATGTTTCGCTTCGCGGATTATTTATTTTTAAAAATTGGATCGCTTGGCTAAAGATAAAATTATTCAACATTTTTGCGTCTGCAGATTTCTGTTGTTTTCAATTATTTCCATTCTATCGGGGTAAAATATGGATACTTTTGGGCGAGATAAAGTGTTTATATCTTTAAAGCGGCTGAGTAATTGCTACTTTTTCCCGCCGATGGGATATGTCGAAATAATATAACGATATACTACGTACGTCGGTGCTGGTAATCATTCGTGTAAATGAACCACAACACGGGCCACTCATCGCTCTTGTCATAAATCGTGACGCCCCTAACTAACGTCAGCGTGAAACTGTCGCCGCGCTGTATACACGTCGCGCGATAATTGAACGCGCGGCGCGCAAAGTCATCACTTTGCCTGTAAATTATTTTTTATCACAGTGCGCGTTGTTTCCCCGGGGATATTACCCGGGCGTGCGCTCCTCTCCGACGCATCTCCGAGGCATCCCGTCCGCGAGGTCTTCTCCTCGTCGCGTGCGTTATCGCCTGAAATATACGAGCCCGTTTCGATAAATCGCGCGCTCGTTGAATCGCGCGCGCAATGCGCTGGATTTCGGCCGCTTCTTCGTTTCCGGTTTCGCCGGCAAGTATCGCGGGCAAATTTCATCTCGACGTATCAAAAGCATATCGCGCAAGAGCGATATTGTTTTGCGATATATTGAAAGATCCTTGATTAAATTTTGTGGGGGGGCTGCAGTAAAATTAAATTATCGTGTAACTTCAAACGTAGTCGCAAGCTGCAGATTTATAAAGGGGCTTCCCCGGCGATCGCGTCCCACTCGAGGTAACATTTCACGTAGTTTTTATTACAGTTGTAAATATGTTTTTTCATGACTCTCTGCTTTATACGCTTCAATTTTTCCACGATAATGGAGTTTCCGTCGTAATGTTGAAACTGTAATCTAAGATGCAATTCCACAAACGGTGCAAAGTTTTTAATAGAATAACCACGCAATGAACTACCCGTATCGCGTAGTTATTTCAAGGAAAGTGGTTATAACAAGGAAAAGGGGAAGGGGGAATGTTTGTTTCCGCTAGTTTCTTTCTTTAGGGGGAAAGCTTTTCGCGAGATGCAATTATTTTGCGGCCGGATATTTACATAACAGAAAAGTAAAGCGAATATCGAATTCATTTATGGTCATGCTATATCGCTGCGTTTTACGTGTACAAAAGTTACATGCTTGCTCAAGCGATGGTGATTTACGCCTTTCATACGCGCTCGCTCGATTCGAGCCGCGAAGAACGATTGTCGTTACCATTCAACCGTGCTCTGGTTCCCCATTATATCATGAATGCGTCGTGGAAAATATCTTGTGAGGTTTACGTCCATTCATCGGCGACGACCAAATTGCGCATTGTGTCGTTTTATTGGATCGCTCGAATAAATAGATTACGCTTCTTATGCAAGCTGTCGTTCCAACGCAGCTCTACTCGCGAATCGAAGAGTGACGTCAATGACTGGAGATGATATTGAGAACGATCGGCTTTTTCCCGATTTATTAAAAATTTTCTAACTAAGTATTCTGAACTGTGTTCTATTATGAATATTCTCTTTATTACGTGACTTATCGAGGGAACAGTTTCTATATCAATTTTAAATCTGATTTTTTTCTTAATCTATTTATTTTTAAATTAAAAATAAAATTTTGATATTTAAATTGAAACTTGAAATTGAAAGTTTAAAAAAAAAAATATTTCTATTAAAAATTCTACACAAAATCCAGATACTGTGTTAAATTAATCATAATTTGGATCATCTTTAAAACTTAATTTATTCTAAAATAATACTTAAATTTTTATTTTATTTTATATATTACTTTTATATTACTACTTATTATGATAATTTTATAATTATTTCCAAATATATTAAGTAATTTTACATTTTTTTTTATATATATTTATTTTGCGTACTATTAATTTACTAACACAATTTTCAAAGAATTGTATCGATAAAATTCTTAGAAAATATTACAGAAATTTAAATTTCAGTGTGAACTATTTGCGAATATATTTCCATAGAATTATCTTGTAATTAAATTCGATTTCGACCTTCGCTACACAGTTTCAAATGTACTGCGTCTCGAGCGATCCGTAGAATGGCATAAGTTTGGGCTTCGGATCGCGATCGTTATTCCGCATACGGGTCGGCTTTATCACGGCTCGCTTACGACGGCAGGCGCGCGTTTAATCGCATCCGCCGGCCTCACGGATCGCGGATTGTTATCGAGCCAATTACGAGCCGTCGACGGCCGCTTTAAATTGACGACGACGATGAAGACGACGTTGACATTTGCGGTAGCGGCACCTGCTTTGCTGCTGCCTCACAACTCACACGACGTGCATTGTTTACGCGCGTTCCCACGCCAATGGTATGCATATGTTGCAAGCCAGTCGCATGCAGGAAATGCATTAATATATATCTTTGACATGGTGGCTTTGATTTAATTACGCGCGCAATGACCGATCGTAAAAATAATAAGTTGAAAGTGGAAAATGTACGAGCATTGCTGGTTTTGGATTGGAATGCGTCTGAAGCTAAAGAAGAATTAACTTGAAATCTTTCATCGCGCCTGTAATTCACACAAATCGGAATTCCGCTTTTAATACAGTCTGCATACTAAATACTTCGTTTTACTGCCGCGAGACAAATTAGAATTCTCTGCCCGCTTTACATTCTTATTCATTATCCGATCTTTGTAGTGGATGGACGCATCTCTCCGCCTTTCCGGCGCGTTGATTAAGTGAAAAGACGGAATCATATTGAAAATAAAGCGCGTATTCCAGTTGGAAGTTTCAGTGCGTCTCGCGGTTAAAATATGCTTGAACTTTCCAGCCGGCTTTATAAGCCAGCACGTACACTTTACATTCCACGTACGTACACGTTATTTACGTTATTTACGTGCGCCATGCGCCCTTAGAGGGTTTGTAGGCAGGAATAAATAACCATCTCGTACCTATTTATCACGCGGTCTTATAATTGCCGTCTATTTTATACGAGCTCTCAAGAGACGCGTCGCCTTTAAGCTGTGTTCCAAGAGTGACTCGATAAAATATTAATTTTGATTATACTAATTTGACTATTAAATTACTAATTCCCTCTTAAGATCTTCAACTTCTAAATTTATTTTCAATTGGCTACTTAAGAAATTTTTTTTTAATGAATTATACGCATATCAAATTATTTTTAATATATTTTTACACATTCATATTTTTAGATATTTTTCAAAATTTTGTTACTTGTAGTATTTATTTGTGTTGGACAAAATATTAAAATTTTTTTAACTTTTAGAATTTCCGAAATTTCCGTGCCTTAGACTTTTATTAGAAATAATTTTTAATATTTACATCATTCTAAATTTGTGTTATGTATCCTTTGATATCTCTTTGACATAAAAAAATTTCTCATTTTTGATGAAAAGTTACTATCCATATTCATGAATGATGTATCTATATATATTTACCCTACTGGTAAATTAATGATATTATTTTAAAACTGAACGGGTCGTCTTTGTAGAGAAAAATATAAATGTGTACTTTATATATTGCGTGATGTTGTTCCGTTAAAATATAATTCTATAATGGCATGAAAATTTGAAAATTCATCGATCGCATAAAAGAGATGCCATCGCCCGCTCTAAACGGGATGTAATTTATTTATTCGACGCTGACATTCCCGGCACGTGCACGCCAATGGTGAGTAACTTATGATTAGTAATATACGGGGGTATATCGTAACGTCGAGAGAGTACATTTAGCATATCTTCGATACGGCACAACGTCTACTTTTAAGGGAACGTAGTAAGAAGAGTGAATGCGCTTTTCGGTATAATTCATGCATATATAAATATGCACGACGTGCTTCCTTCGACTAGTATGCGAATAACTCGGAAGAAGTATGTTTGAA